AATTTTAAATATATTTTCAGAAAATCAATCAGAGAAAAAAGGGGTTCGCCCACCTTCACTAAAGTAAAAGCAAACAACTAAAAAACCTCCTCCCACATGATATTTCAGAGCATCAAGCTCTGAATGACATAAAAAAAATTGTGGCAAAAGTGGGTACCACAGCGATGAGATATCGGAAATGAATGATGAACTTGCTAATGATGAAAGAAGGAAAAGGATTCAGCATCTTCTTGATGATGACCGCAATAATCATGTGGTGAAGGTCATAAAAAAAGGATGGTGGTTGAAAAAAGTAATTATTACAATAGATAATTTATATCTATATTAATACTAGTACTAATATGCTTTATATACTTTTTAGTTAAAGCAAATTTTGTTGCTATGCGAAGATACTTCACTAGTACAAAATTATAATAAGCCGAAACAGAATTGCTGGGAAACTGATATCGATGATAACTCAACACCACCAGCTGGGGCTCCCAGCTGGTGTATTTCATGCAACTACGTTCCTGCTATTTCACTTGGTCCTGTTATAAATTCTTCTAGTGCTGGTGGTAACTCTGATAATTATTTAGAGTCTGGTGCTGTTGCCTCTGATATACATTTTGTATCTGGTTCTGCCCTGTCTGGTTCTGCACTGTCTGGTTCTGCTCCTGATATATATTCTGGGTCTAGATCTGGTGCTGTTGCTCCCGATACTAATGCTGCCCCCAATACTAATTGATATGCTGCTCCCGATGCTAATTATTATTCTGCTCCCGATACTAACTACTATGCTGCTCCCAATGCTAATCATTCTGATGTCTCCAAAAATAATCGTTCTGCTGCCCCCGATACTAATCGTTCTGATGCAAATAATCGCTCTGCTGCCCCCATTATTAATATTGATGTTCCCGAAACAATTCGTGGTAGAAGTTCTCCCAGTATCAATCTTAATATCATATCTGGTACGATTTTTAATGTTTCTAATACAAATTATTTAAGATTTTTACTAATGTTT